TGTTGCTGGGGAGGGCCTCAGCAACAGCAGCACAGGAAGAGGGCTGAGGACCCTCCATTTCTGGGTAGCAGTGTCTGGGGAAGGAGCGAGGACTGGGCCGTCTTCAAGGTACTAAGTTCATAAGGTCAAGGTGCTGTGTCATTCAGTGCTGTGTTACCAGTGTAGGCCAGGGCAGGGCCTGCACTCCCTTGGTGCTGTTCTCTGAACAACAGCAGTGTCTGTGATTGGGGTGGGGTCTGGGGGGCTGCAAGGGTCAGGAGGATGTGTGTGCTGGGTGGAAGGGGCTCTGGGGAGGGCGGGCGGTCACTCACAGCCAGGCGTGTCTGGCGCTCCTTCTCACGCTCATTCCGGATGCGCTGCTGCTCAGCCCGCTCTGCACGCCGCTTCTCCTAGGTGGGAGGACACATGGGGGCATCAGCAGCAGTGCCTGCAGGAGTCCAGCACATGGTTTCCACACCGAGAGGCACAGGCAAGGGCGATGGCTGCAGGGGCCTATGAGGATGACCCACAGGGGGGATCATGCAAGCAGGGTGCTTCAGGCTCCCTGGGGGGCTCCACAGTAAGACTGCCTCAGCCTCAACTGGTAGCCAGAGCAGCAGGCTGTACAAAGGGAAATCTGGTGTGTGGGGGGGAGGTAGGGGGAGGAATAAAGGGACCACCCAGCCCACATGAAATGATTTCACTGACATCTTCCCTTCCTTAAGAGGCTTTCCCTGGTGGTGCTGCCCAGTAAGCATTGGGCTGCTAACTTCAAGGTCAGCAGTTCTAACCCACCAGCTGATCATGGGAGAGAGACGGGGCTTTCTACTCCCGTGAAGAGTCACCGTCTGGGAAACCCGCCAGGGCAGTTCCACCCTGTCCAACAGGGCCACTAGGAGTGAGCACCGCCGCGATGGCAGGAGCTTGGTTTGAGTTTTGCCTGCCTTCCTGCTCTGTGGGAAGGAAGCAGGGGTGGGTGAACCACAGCCATGTGTGACTGGCCCTTCAGACGCCAAGACCCAGATTAGACCTTGTGGGAGAGGCGGGGGAGAATCACATGCCTCAGCCTCAGTTCCTGCCCTGGAAGAGCATCCAGCAGTCTGGCGGGGGAAGCAGACCGAGCCCAAGAGCCACAGTACAGGGCATGAGGGCAGCCCGCTGCTGCGGGTGCCGGTGGGGATGAGTCCAGGAGGACTGCCTGGAGGAAGGGGCTTCCAGAAGCTGTGCTGGGAGCGGGGACACCTACGATCCTGTCTTTGAGCGAAACGAGCTCCTCCTCCTCCTTCTTCCTGTTCTCAAAGTGAGCCTCGATCAGCGTCTGCAGCTCGTTCAGATCCTTCTCCATGCGCTTCCGGTGGATGTCCTGCGGAGCGAACCCAGGGTCAGAAGCTGCCACGCCCCAGCCCGGAGAGACAGCGCTGCTTGAATGAAAGGACCTAGGCCAGGCCAGGGAAGGGACAACTGCAGCCTGGACCCAGGCACTGCTCAGGGTCAGGCACTCAGCCTCGCTCTTCCAGGCACCCACACACACACACCTGCTCCCACAAGCCTACAGGTCCTGTGACCCCCTGAGTCAGGCCTGCCCTCCCCACAGTGCCCACTCACGTCAAAGTCCACCCTCTCGCCATCGGGGATCTTGGGCGGCACCAAGTTGGGCATGAAGAGTCTGTTAGAGGAATAAGGAGTGGTGAGCTGATAGCAGCCCTGCTTTGGACCTGAGGGACTGGGGGTCCCTGGGGTAGGCGGGGCCTTCCTCCCCGGGCCAGCACCCCAGCTCATCAAGGGATACAAACAAGGCTGACACCGCAGGGAGAGGCCTGCACAAGCTCTCCACACGCCATTTCATTTTGTGCCCACAACACACTAGGGGTGGGGGACATGAATGTCATTTTGAGAAGACAGGGGCCCTGCAGAAAGAGGGTGACTTGCAGAGAGAGGGTGACTTGTCCACAATCATACAGGGAGGAAGCAGAGATGCATAACGAAAGGACAGAGGTGTGTGAAACTCCAGCCCCTGCTGCTGACCTGAAGGACCCCCGCCCCACCCCGCCCCCAGGAGGCCAAGAGTCCTGCAGCTCATACTTGCTGTGTGACAGCGGGCCCAGGCGGGGCCCTGACCTCCGTTTCTCGGTCTGTGCAGGGTTATAGGGAGGCTGAGATGTGCGGCTGCAGTGTCAGGAAGGTGCCAGATGAATGAATGGGGCTGGGATTGGCCGTGGCCTGGGCTGGATCTGTTCTCACAAGGAGCCCTGGTGGCATCCTGGGCTACCCATTGGACTGCTAACCACAAGATCTGTAGTTCAAACCCTTCAGTCTCTCCAAGGGAGAAAGATGAGGCTTTCTGCCCCCATGTAACCCACAGAGGCAGTTCTACCCTGGTCCACAGGGTCACTAAGAGTCAGTATTAACTCAAAGGCACTGCATTGGCTTTGGCTTGAGCATCCCTTTTCATCAGAGCGCAACTGCTAACCAAGAGGCTGGTAGTTCGAACCCCGCCAGCTGCTCCATGGAAGAACCATGGTTGGACCTGCCTCAAGTTGGCAGCATTCCACTCTGGCCTGCCGGGTCGCCGGGAGCTGGGAGTGACTCCACGCAGGCTTCACAGATAAGTGGTGCTAGAGAGAGCCCCCACCCCCCATGACTCTCTGGGGAAATGCATGTGGTTATGTTCCCCCCAACTCCCACCCGTGCGTCCCCTCACTAGCCCTTCCCCTCAGGGCCTGGCATGGGGTGTGTCACACTCACCGGGGCTTGGGTTTGGACTCCTCTGTTGGGCCATCTGGGGGGGGAACAAGAACACACCGGCAGGGTCAGGAGGCCCCATTCTGCTCCCAGCCCAGCCCCTCAGAACCTGTGGGCCTCCATTCCCCATGTGCACACAGTTATTTCACCTGGGGTCCCCGGAGCCCCAAGGGTATCAAGAATCATTAGGGCAGCAGGGTTGTACACCCCACACTTGGTGTCCCACTGCAGCCCCAGTGGGATGTCCCCAGGGACAGCCGGACCCTGGAGGGGACATGTACTTAGGGTGGCCTTTCAAAGCTGTCTGATGAGCACTGGTACTAAGCGAGGCAGCATTGCTCAGAGATCCTGATTGCTGTGGAAAGGTCCCTGGTGGTCTTGGCCCCAGAATCCCCCTTGGCCTCCTTGACCGCCTCCTGGCCTAGTGGCGGCCACAGGGCAAGGGAGCAGGTTGACCTGATTGTGAGTCCAGCATCACTGCCTGCCCTGTGCAGGCTGTGGTGCCCCCATGAGGCAGCAGCATCCCATGAGCACCAGCTAGCACCTGACTTGGGATTTTATCCTCATGAACCACACATCCTACACAGGGTTTCCCCAGCTGGGGAAGCCTTGTGTGTAGGTGGACCTGGGGGTCCCGCTGCCCTACCCTACCAAGTGAGTTGGGCAAGGGTCCCATTTCCCACAAGCTCCAGCATGGCAGCCTCTCTGGGACAAGGAGGGGCAGATATGTGGAGCTTAGCAACCAATGCCCTTGGCAGCCACCACACTCTGCCCCCCTCTCGCAGGACTCTCTTCACCCTTGCCAGCTGGCTGGAGGGAGGTCTCCACACAGTCTTTCCACAGCTGCTATGAAGCGCTCCCCTGCAGCTGCCCATCTCTCCTGGTCACCAGCAGTCCTTACCTCCAGCCTCTTTAGCCTCCTCTTCTGGTCCATCATCTAAACAGCAAACAAGAAATCCATCAAGGTCCTTGTCCCCGCCCCAGCTTCACTCTCTTGAGGCTTCCCCCCAAACAGGCTCTAGACAGAGTGAACCCCCTGGCTATGGAATTGACAGAGGAGCATAGCTTATTATCAATGTGTGTACCTATACTCATGGGGGCTTTGCACCAAAGGAGCACTTAGTGACTGGTCATTGAGCCCTTGATTGCTGAACCCAGCATGGTCCAGGTCGCAGAGGGGAGGAGCAGAGCTTGAGCTACACAAAGCACTTTCACACACATCAGTTCATCTTAGGTCCATATTACACCCAACCCAACTCAACCCAACTTAACTCAACAACTCAACCCAACTCAACTCAACTCAACCCAACTCAACTCAACTCAACCCAACTCAACTCAACCCAACTCAATTCAACTCAACTCAACTCAACCCAACTCATCTCACTCTGAAGTCAGTTTCATCTCATTGCACCCCTAGAGTAGGCAAAATAAATACAGTGGTTTTGACCCTGTCCCAAGTGGATTTCCTACTGCCACAGACATGGCTTTAGGAGCTCTCAATATCCTACCTCCACCCCCACCCCCAGAGCACCATGACCAAGTACCTTACACCTTTCTTTACCCCAAAGCCTTACCTTCTGCCTTGTTCTCATCAGCCTCAGTCTCATCTTCAGCCTCAGCCTCCCCTTCAGCCTCTTCCTCCACTGCCTCCTCCTGCTCTGGAGAAGTGAACCAGACATGTGAGTAGCCAGGCCCCACTTATTACACTATCAGACAAAACCCAGACCAGAGAGCAGGGGCTGAAGAAACTAGGTTCCAGATGAAGTGGGGGAAAGCAGTATAAACAACAGGGAATGACTCCATTCTTGGTGTAAACACTCACTTCCAGCAAGTCAATGCTGACTCATAGCAACCCTATAGGATAGGGTGGAACTGCCCCTGTGGGTTTCTGAGACTGTAACTCTTTATAGGAATAGAAAGCCTCATTTTTCTCCCATGGAGCAGCTAGTGGTATCAAACTGCCAACCTTGAGGTTACAGCCCAACACATAGCCACTATGCTACCAGAACTCCTTTGCTCTAAACTGGAGCTCAGCAAATTACAGCTCGAAGACCAAATCTGGCCCCCCCTTGTTTCCATGCATCAAGTTGTAGGAGCGTGGTGCTTCATCTCCATCCTGTCTATGACAGATTCTGTGTTGCACTATTTGCTGTAAATATTTATTACAGTTCCTGGCAGCCACGGTGGCACTGTTGGAACTCCTCATGGCAAGAGCAACAGTTCAAACTCACTAGTCAAAGGAGTCAGATGAGGCCGGCGGCTCCTGTAAAGACTTACAGCCTCAGAAACCCTCTGTAGGGTCAGGGTGAGTCAGAGTCAAGTGCGTCTGGTTTGAGTTTGGGGTCCCTTTACAGAAAAGGTTTGCTGGTCTCCAACCCACACTGAACAGGTGGGCGTGAACAGGCTTGTCAAGGGTCCCTTAGTGCTACGTGTTCTTCTCTGGGAGTTTGGGGATCAGAACTGGGTCTTTCCAAACATGGAGGTCTTTCCTCTACCTAGAGGCCCAGGGAGGACCAGAAATCAGGGGTAGGAGCAAGTGAGGGTGTGGAGGCCGCTGTAGACAGCACCAAAACCCGGCAGCCCCGCGAGACACACTCCCCTGGTGGCTGGCCTGTCTGGCATGGTGGTTTCCCTTTTCTCCACAGCCAAATGACCCCCCTGGGGATGCCGCCCCGCCCCCTCCTCCAACTTCCCACCCAGAATTTCACAGAATGGGTCCTGCTCCGGGCAAGGTATCAAGGGTGCTCCTACCCTGGTCCCAGAGACTCTCCAAGTCTAATCAGAAGACCCCAAACCAGCAAGACTATGTGGGTGAATGAGATATTTATATTCTTTGGAGAGCTGGCAGTTTTTCTATTGTCAGTTTGCGGTGGTGGGGTGTGGATCCCACCACAGTCGGGCACGTGAGGGGAGCAGACAAACGAGGGTGATGCCAAGCACACTGTTCTGCCTGTAGGAAGTGCTCAGTCAATACTCAGTAGCTGACGACTGGCTGGCTGGCTGACAGCTGACTGGCTAACTGACTGACAGACTGACAGCTGACTGACAGCTGACTCGCTGGTTGACTAGCTGGCTGGCCAACTGGCTGACAGCTGACTGACCAGCTGATTGGCTGACAGCTGACTCACTGGCTGGCTAACTGGCTGGCTGACTGACTGACAGCTGACTGGCTGGCTGACTCGCTGGCTGGCTGACTCGCTGGCTGAACGAATGGCTGACAGCTGACTGACTGGCTGGCTGGCTGATTGCTGCCTATAGGAAGTGTATGGTCAATGTTTGTTGGCTGGCTGGCTGACTGACTGGCTGGCTGGCTAACTGACTGAGAGCTGACTAGCCGGATGGCTGACAGCTAACTGACTGGCTGGCTGACAGACTGACAGCTGACTGGCTGACTGACTGTGACCTGTAGGAAGTCCTTGGTCAATGCTCATTGGCTGACTGACCGGCAACTGGCTAGCTAAGGTCGTCTCTTGGCCGAGGAAAAAGAAAGAGGCTCAGGATGGAGAGGGAGGAGGTCATACACCAGGGTCATGTGGGTGCTCCATGTCATCTCTCCTCCTTGCCCAGGCCCAGGAGGTAATTCCTCTTGGATCCCTGTAGCAGCCTTACCTAAGAAAAGAACCTTCGGGAAGAATGAGAGTAGAGAGCCAGACAGCAATGATTTGGCCTGTTGTGGGGTCCACCTTCAGGCCATGTTGTTGCATCCACCCTCACCCTCTGATGTTTGACCTGTTTCTACAATAAGCCCACCCTGCCACATGGCCAGGCAGTGTCTGCTGGAGCCTTTCCACGATGGAGAGCTTCCTGGGCCCCAAGGCCGTGCACCGCATCATCAGACACCACTGTCAGGAAGCTCGTCTTAAAATTAACCCCAAACTTGTCCCCACAAACGTCACCCCCTGGCCCTAGTCCTAGCCCCGTGGGTGAGAATGGACAGTGGGCAGTGGGCAGGGCCCCTGCTGGCTTCTCTCCCGAGCTGCTGAAAACTGTGCTGCAGAGGAGGGCTGAGGCCCAAGCAAGTGGCCATGTGCTCCCAGGCCCCCACTGCACATGCTGGCCTTCAGGGCAGGCCCCTCCCTAGGAGCTGGATGGCGAGGCGACAGTCATCTAAAGGACGGCCAGCATCAGCCAGAGCAGAGGGGACCTGGGGGCAGCCTCCAAGTGCACACCACTGCCCACGGTGCTGGGACCTGGACTATGGCCAGGGGGGACAGGGGACAGATTTGGGTTCTGAGAAGCAGCCCCTCCAGTGGGGGACCTGGAGAGGACTGGCCCGGGGGAGGAGGACAGCCACGGTATCTCCCGCACACCCGCAGGCCCTGGGTAGCCCCGCCCTGCCCTCCTCCCAGCGGAAAGAAGAGCCATCAGCAAAGGGGAGTCTGTGGTCCTCGCAGAGAACCGGGGTCCTGGGCCACCCAGGGAGTCCGGGGAGGACATGCCTGACACCCTGACACCAACACAGCTAGATCTCAGGGGGTGGGGAGCACAAGAGGAAAAAGCATACTACCATCCTCCTCCTCCTCCTCCTCCTCCTCCTCTCTCCAGTCTTCTTCCTCTGAGGTTCGGGCATGCCAGCAGCAACGGAGAGAAGCGAGACAGGTTAGTCCAGAAGCAGCAAGATGAGCAGCTGCCCTCAGAGGGTGGGGTTAGGCCTGCGCTGGATTCCTCGCCCCACCCCCCCAGCACCATGATGGGACAGTGTGCAGCAGTCAAGGGCAGTAAAGACTGCCACTTCCTGGCCACCGATCCCTGTGGTGTCATGGTGACACGTAGGACTGCCAACTGGAAGGTCAGCACCTTGAAACCAGCCGCTCTTTCGGAGAAAGATGGGGCTTTCTACTCCCATAAAGAATGATAGTCCCAGAAACCCCCAGGGGCAGTTAGCATGGACTCAGTGGCAGGGAGTTGGGTTTGGGTTTTTTGGCCAAGGTGAGAAGTCAATGGTCCAGCATGCAAAGAGTGCCAAGCTAGCGTGGGTCCAGGCAGCCAGGAGTCATCAGGAAGTGGCCATTGGCAGCTCCTGCCCACCCTTGCCTCAAGAGTCCAGAGCCTCAGTTTTCCCATTACTAAGACCTCAAAACCCCAACTCAGAGCCCCCTGTGGGACAGAGTAGAACTACCCCCAAGACAGAACTGTCACCTTCACCATTAAGCACCGAACACCAGTGCACTTCCTACTGAAACGGGCCCATCCCAGGTCACCCATCTCCCTCCAGTTCCAGGAGCCCAGCCGCTGATGGCGCTGTTTCCAGTGTCTGTCACTGGACATTTACCAGGCCTGTTGGAATGTCCGCTATGGGAGGCCAGCGCTTCCCCCAAGGGGAGCAGCCTAGTAGTGTTGCTCTAGATGCAGATATACAACTCTTTGCTGGACTCCTATCCTTGGAAAAGGGACACTCTGGGGATGGTCCATTCAGTACCCTCAGCAGACACCTATCTACTGGAGGTTGCCCAACACATGTGGCCTACCCCCTCAGCATGCCCTTGGAAATTCAAAACGTGTATGCTATGTCTGCTTTGCATGCCCCCTGGGTCATTCCAGGACCCCCGGAGGGGGTGGTGGGCATTGTCACCCAGTCTGAGAAACACTGCTCTGGAACCTTGTTCTCTCAGTCCGTCGCAGGCAACCACTTAGCTGTGCAGAAGCAGGTGCCGTGCGTTAATTCATATCAAGCAAGGCAGATGCTGCATGGAGCTTCGTTATTTCCGGAATCACAGCCAACCTCTGCACCGTGTCACTGAGAACTCTCGCCCTGAAGCAGCTGCCAACCCAAGGTGGGCAGCTTGCCCCACCAGCCCCTCCGCAGGAGAAAGATGCTGTTGGCTGCTTCTGTAAAGACTGGCAGCCTTGGAAACGCTGTGGACCCTTCTACTCCGTCCTCGCACTAATCACTGAGCCAGAGTTGGCTTGGCTGCAGTGGGGTTTGCAGCTTTATCTTTTAGAGATGCATGCTGAAATAGTTCAGCATGCATGAAAGTGCGTCTGGGAATTGTTTGGAATGTCTGCTCTGAAATCATTGGACACAGATGGTGTCTATGTGAAGAAACCTGGCCATTGCTCCGCAGTTGCGGGCGGGGGCCCAATAATCAAATGTTGCCAATTTTAAGGGGAATTAAAAAGGTCCGGGAATTAAAAAAAATAATAATTTGTATGGAAAGGCAAAAACAATTCAATGGGAAAAAATGATGATTGCGTTTGAACGTTTGACCAATGGAAGGCGCCAGTTTAAACATTCTCCTCAAGTCCTGAGCCACCCAGGGGAAAGCTGAGGCCCATTCGGGAGTCTGGTTGTGGGGAACCTCTGCTCCTCTGGGCCTGAGACAAGCTCCCAGGACACCACATCCCAACACCCCCACTCTCTGAACCTCCCCCCCAGTTGCATACCTTCCACAGCTGCTACTGCTCAGCAGGAGAGGAGGGAAGAAGATGTGGGTCAGTTCCAAATCACACTGTCCTTGGTCCAAATGAGTACACACGTGTGTGCACTTACCTTCCTGCTCCCTGCAGGGGAAAAGGAGATGCCGTCAATAGTACACACCACACATGTACACACACACATATACACACACCACTCCTACACACCACACCTACACATACACACCCTACCACACATAGACATACATCCACATACCACACACATTACATACACAATGACCATACACATGCACACACCATGTACACACATATCACATGCATACATATATAAACTGACCACACACATACATGTACACACTTACCACACGTACATGCTCACAGATCACACATATACATACACTGACCACACACACATATCACAAACAGTGCATATGCATACACCTACATTGACTACACACATATGAGGGGATGCCAAAAAACACAGAAATGTTTTTTTCAAAGCTTTGTATTTGAACATTTTTTAAAGCAAACTTATCACGGCCAAAGTACTCTCCATGACACTTAATACATTTGTCATATCTGTGATTCCGTTCTTGGAATTTTTCAAACTCATCTGTTTGGATAGCTGGCAGCATAATCCCGGGTTTTTTGGGTACCCCCTCGTACACCCACACACCACATACATACATGCCCACCACACATATACACACACCACATACATAAAGCACATGCATACATCGCCACGCTAAACTCACCGTGCACACACCGCACGCTCACACCACCCACCGGCCCGTGGCCCGCCCTCCAGCCAGGCGCTTGCTCCCCACAGAGGCTGGTCCCAGGCAGCCTGGTCTGTGCAGCCTTCTGCCTGTTGACTTCCCTCCTCTCCCCACTGAGCCGTCCCCAGGCTGAGCCCTTCTAGAAAGCCCTTTCCTTTGCCCCTTTCTCTGCTTCTCCACACGCCTTTCCATGGCGACTCCAGCCGCCATTGCTCCCAGTGTGTTTCCCTGAGGCAGGGCCCTGCTGTGCCCCTGCGTCCGCCCTGGTGGCCCCCACAGAGCTGTCTGCCTGTCCCCCTGCCCCACCCCCCACTTGTCTACAGAGCAGGGCTGGGCTGGGTGTGGGTGTCCAGCTGGAGCGAAGACACTGAGTTGAGTTGGCCTTGTGGTGTCAGGAGTCCGGAACCTTTCTGCATCAGTTGTCAGGAGACTTGACAAGTCCCTGGCTCCTTAGCTGTGGCCACGCTGCTGGCCAGCTAAAACCCTGTGGACCCCGGGAGCTCAGCCTCTTTACTTCCCCTCGTCCTGCGGTCTGTCTGAGACCAGGGCCCAGGGGTGGAGGTGGAAGGCATCCATTTCTCCTCTGAGTCCTAAAAGCAGGTACAGCCGCTTGCCCAGTCCTGATGGGGGAGGGGAGGGACTGGGGGGGAGGGGTGTGTAGAGGGCATATTTCCCATACTCACTCTTCGTACTCCTCCACCACCGCGTCTTCTGTGTCTGACATGGTCTCGCTCTCCCTCCGGAAAGAGAGAAAGAGCAGTGTGAGTGCAGGGGGCGCCCGCCACCCTCAGTTCTAGGGGAGCGACTCCGACTTATGGGGGTGAATCTGGACCTGCCTCTTACAGCTGTGTGGCCTGTAGCAAGGCAGCGCGATGGGGCTGGCTCCTGGGGGATGTGAACGATTAACTCCTCTCATGCTGACTGAAAGGGTGGAGGTTCGAACCCACCCAGAGGCATCCTGAAAGAAAGGCCCAGTGATCTACCAGCCACAGAAAATCCTGCGGGCCGCAGCTCTGCCCTGGGATCTTCAGAGGCAAAGGTGCAGAATGGCCAAGGGGTTGAGGTGGGTTTCATTTCTTCCCCCTGAGCGGGTTTAATGTCTGCATTTTCAAGCATCGGTTCCAAGCATTGTTACTCTCATACTGGTTCTAGCGATTCTCAACCTTTCCAGCCTGCAGAGCCCCCCAGGGGGCCGAGGGTCGCGAGACCTCCCAATGAGCGGCACCCACAGTCTGCTCCTAGACATCCCCCTGGGTGGGTGGCTAAGCCATCTTAACCATGGTGCAGTCCTCCCACGGACGGCCCCCGGGAAATGAACAGGAACACACTGCTGATGCCCACCACACCGTGGAGGGCTCCCCAGACCGCGGCATCACACGAGGGGACCAAGCAGTTCCACCAAGGTCACATACTACATGGTTCCACTTTCAGAACGTTCTTGAAATGGCAAGATTATAGAAATGGGGGAGAGCAGTGTGGCTGTTGGGGGGAAGGACGAGGGGTGTGGGGGAGGGGGCAGGGAGAGGTGTGGCAATCCAAGGCCCGAGGCCTCTTGTGGTCAGTCTCCTGACTGTCGTGACATGGGCTCCAATAGAGAACTTGTAGCTCACTACATGCACACGTGTACAGTGTAACTAAAACTGGGGGAGCTGAATAAAATCATGAGTTCTGTCCCTGCCCACATTCTGATTAGGATAGTGCTTTTGTTTCAGGGATTTTATTTTGGGTAAAAACATACATAGTCAACCATAAACCCATTCAACAGCATCTACATGTGAATTGTGTCACCGTTATTCTCTCCACCCAAATGATCCCACCACTAGTGAGATCGATTTGGGGCCCTGGAGGCATCCGATCTGAGGAGCCTGGCGGCGTGGTGCATAACACGTGTGGGGCTGTTAACCGAAAGACAGCGGTTGGAAACACCGGGCGCTTTGAGAAAGAAAGAGGAGGTTGTCTACTCCCAGAAAGAGCCACCGTCTTGGAAACCCACAGGGGCAGTTCTACCCTGTCCTAGAGGGTCATTGTGAGTTGGAATTGACTCAATGGCAGTGAATGAGAAATATCATCTATATATTTTTTCTAATTTTCATCCTGATTTGGGTGTGAACTATAGTTTGGCAAAATTCTATCACTGGGGGAAGTTGAGCTAAGTGTACGAGGGAGGGGTCTCTCTTCATTCGCTCTTACACCTGCGTGTGATTCTTCCACCTCAATTAAAAACATGTTTTAACATCAGTTTCTCAGAGGGATGCCCTGGGAGCTTCTTCTCACACGCGATGGGAACAGTCGGTCTAGACTCCCGGAAGCTGATGAAGTGTGTTTAGACAAGTCTTTTCAACATATCTGCACCTGGCTTCCTGCTCGGGCCATGAAGTAAGTGTACACAGCCCAGCGATGAGGATCACGTGGATGTAAATACATCTTTGAAAACTGGAATGTGTCAGGCAAATAGCAGGTGGGGTCACGACGCCATTGTCATGACAGCTGGGAAGGGCAGCATGTGGGTGGGGGTGAGAGCGATGTCATTTTGAAGGCACGTGACCATGGAAGGGCCATCTGAATTCCCTCCACCTCAGTTCTCTCCTCCATGCGAGGCAGACACTGCCCCTCTTCTGCGGTAGCTGTGGGATCAGAGCTGCTGTAATGTCCCTGCCGTGGAGTAGACCGCCCATGAAGAACTTCCTACCCAGCTCTCCTGGGCCACCTCCAACAGGCAGCCTTCACATGGGCTGCAGCACACCTGGTACTCCTGTCACGGAGCACAGTGCCCCCCCTCACGCCCCTCCAATAAGAAACCTGGGTGGTGTCATGGCTACACACTGGGATAAGATCCACAAGGTCAGCAGTTCTAAACCACCAACAGCCTCAAGGAAGAAAGACAGGGCTCCTACTACTGCACGGAGTGACAGTCTCAAAACCCCACAGGGACAGTCCTACTCGGTCCTCTAGAGTCACCATGAGTTGGCATCGACTCCAAGGCAGTGAGGGAGTGCCCAAAATATGTGGCAAGTTGGCTGGACCATCCATGATTCTCAGTGGTTTGGCAGTTATGCACTGATGTAACCTAGCAGTTATATAATGATAACATCATTCTCCCAGATGGGTCGGCCTATCAGTTCTAAGGAGACTCCAGAGCGATGCTATACCCTTACTCAGGTCACAGCCCTGGTCTCGGGTCAAGAAGGTCCCCTGGGGCAGCGGTTCTCAACCTTTGGGCCGTGACCCCTTTGGGGGTCAAACGACCCTTTCACAGGACTCACGTAAAACCATCGGAAAACACATAAATATTTCACAATATATAATTACATATTGTTTTGTGATTAATCACTGTGCTTTAATTATGTTCAATTTGCAACAATTAAAATACATCCTGCATATCAGATATTTACCATATATACTCGAGTACAAGCCAACCCAAATATCAGCCGAAGCACCTAATTTTACCCCAAAAACTGCATTAAAAATGTGCTGGAAAACGGCTTATACACGAGTATATAATGTGTGTGTGTGTGTGTGTGTGTGTGGTACATTACGATTCATAACAGTAGCAAAATTATAGTGGTGAAGTAGCAACAAAAATCACGTTATGGTTGGGGGTCCCCACCACATGAGGAACTGTGTGAAAGGGTCGTGGCATTAGGAAGGTGGAGAACCACTGCCCTGGGGCATGGCCTGCACCACTTTTATAAGAGATAAAGGGAGAGAGAGATGTGAGCTGAGAATCAGGGACCTACTACTAACAAGAAGAGCTGGAGTGGTGGGTCCCTTGGACCCAGGGTCTCCACGCTGAGAGTCCCCTAGACCCAAGGGAAGATGGATGCCGAGAGACACATGGGCATCTCAAGAACACCAGGCCTACAGATGCTGAAAGGAGACAGAAAGCCTTCCCCCAGAGTCAGCAACCTGAACTTGGACTTCTCGCCCCCTCAACTGTGAGAACAGGTATGTGTTTGTTAAAGCCACCCTCTGTGGCCTTTCTGTATAGCAGGGGATAATGCTGCCCTGCACAACAGCTCTGCCACTTCGTGATGTCTCAGAAAGCAAAAGGGACACGTGATGGAG